AAAATATAACGAAACAGGACAATGTGTTGGCCTATTTGCTAAATTTCTTGAAAAACATGACATCCCATCTCCTAAAGAGATCACATCTTCTCTTTCATAGCTTCCTTCCACCTAATCGAATCGGGGCTAGACTCTACCTCCCTGAATGTGGATGGAACTATATCATCAACGACCTCCACTGATAATGCATATGCGACCATAACATCATTATACCCAGCTGGTCGACTAATCACCCTTCTAGGTCTATTCGTTGCAATAGACTCCTGAACATGACCCTGCTCCTGAGTCTCATAATCCACTGTATCCTCTATTTGTCCGGCTATCATCCAATCTCCTCCCAATATCACCTCTATAGGAGCTTCAATGGATACAATGCTATCTGGAGTGGGTGGAGTCATATCATCCTCCACCTGCTGTGATATCTCTCGAAACTGGTCTTCCTCCACCTGCCGAGAAACTTGAGGCCTCATCATGTACGTCTCATCAAATGTGACATCTATGCTAATAACTATCTTCTTGTCCTATGGATCTCATAACTTGAAGCCTTTAAATCCATCTCTAAATCCCACAAAGACTGCCTTCCTCGCCCTCGGATTTAATTTATCATCACTAACATGATAATAAGCAGAACACCCAAATATCTGAAGCGACTCATAGTCACTAGCTACCGAACCAAACCAACGCTCTAAAGGAGTCTTCTCATGTATCGCAGTGCACGACAACCTATTAACGAGATAGCTAGCATAAACCAATACCTCGGCCCAAAAGGATCTAGGTAATCCACTCTGCGTCATCATACATTGCACCTTCTCCAGCAAGATACGGTTTAATCTCTCAGCCACCCCGTTCTGTTACAGTGTCTCTCGAACAGTGAAGTGTCGCCTAATACCGTGATCCCGACAAAACTACAAAAACGGATCACTCTTATACTCTTCACCGTTATCTGAACGTAGAGTCTTCACCTTTCTACCTTTCTGTAGCTCCACTTTCTTCTTCCACTCTACAAAAATATCTAGGACCTCATGTTTATGCTTCATAGGGTATACTCAATTCCTCCTGAAATAGTCATCAATGAAAGTAGCAAAATAGTTGGTCCCACCAATTGATGTGTTCTTGGAAGGGCCCCAAACATCTGTGTGAACGTAATCTAATACACCTTGGGTGTTGTGAATAGCGGTGCCGAACTTTACTCTAGTCTTTTTTCCAAGTACACAATGCTCACACAACTCCATCTTGCAGGTCTTAGCACCTTTCAATAGTCCATGTTTCGCTAATGACTGCAGGGACTTATCACATGTATGTCCTAATCTCATGTGTCATAAAGTGATAGTGTCATCCTCTGTAGTGATAGAAGCTGTCAGACCCCATGTAACTGTCTTACCCTTCAAGTAGTATATGAAGTTTTTCCTGACTCCTCGCATCACCACCATAGAACCCTTTATGACCTTCACGGTAGCATCCTCTAAGGTCACCCGATAACCAGCTGCCTTCAAAGTACCAAGAGAAATGATGTTCTTCATCAAGTGCGGTACGAACCTCACTTCTTTCAACTCCCTAACCACTGCGTCATGCATCTTGATCCGAACTGAACCAATACCACCGATAGGGCATACGTGATCATTTCCCATAAGCACGACATCCCCTCTTTCCAGCTCCTCAAAGCTGGAGAACCAATCCCTCCTAGGACAAATGTGATATGTAGCCCCCGAATCCAGCATCCACTTCGTAGAGTCGGCATAGCAAATCGACGATAGTGCAGGGCACGAATAACCTGAAGAATCTGAATCTGAATGCTCACCAACAGCTTTTGCAACTTTCATTTTTGAAGCTTGTACAACTTTCCCCTTATTCTTCCCAGCATTGTCCTTCAACTTTGGGCAGTTGATCTTCCAATATCCCTCTTCTTTATAAAAGCGATATTGATTCCTACCAACACTCTTATAGCCACATCTATTCTTCGATTTTGAGTAGTTGACTTGGCGACCGTTTGGACTATGGCCTCGAACTGCTAATGCATCTCCTGATGGCTTCTTGGAGGGTTCGCAATCACTCTTCCTCAACTCATAATTTATCAACGCTGAGGTCACCTCCTTATAGCTAACAATAGTTCTTCCATTGATCATAGTGAGAACGAAAATACCATAATTATCCTCCGACAACGAACACAAAAGTAGCATCGCCTTGTCTTCATCCTCAACCAAGATGTCAACATTGGTCATATCTAAAAGTAGCTTCGTGAAGTTGTATACATGCTCCTTAATGGAAACTCTCCTCTTCATCTTGAAGTGGTAAAACCTCTTCTTCAAGTGAAGCCGATTCTCAATGCTCTTAGTAAGATACTTTTCATTGTACGTTTCCCACAAGCTCTTCACCGACGTCTCGTTCATCACATCATAAATAAGATCAGACGTCAAGCATAACCGAATAGCTCCACAAGCACTACTATTTATCTTCTTCCAAACATTATCTTCCATGTCTTTAGGTTTCTCTTGTAACTCAAGAGTCTTCTCCAAATTCTGGCATCCAATGCATCTATCACCTGGCACCTCCATAATCCAAAATTAATCTTGCCATCGAACTTCAGAACATCAATCTTCGTATTATTGATGCTCAGATTCTGTATCGCCTTCGTAAAAGACGAACATGATGTGCTTCCTTTACCCATGTTGTAGATCTAACTCTTCAAATAGGAATCCTTCAACGAATCCTTCGAACAAACCCTAATCTAAACCTGAAGCTCTGATACCACTTGTTGTACGCAGCGGGTGCTCGAAAGCCAAATAGTGCACAAACAAGAACGAAGAAGATCACAACCAAACATAAGCACAAACCACAATCACAGCAAGACAACGAATTTTACGTGGTTCGGCAAGTTGTCTACGTCCACGGGGCAAGGAGGGGGGAGTTCTTACTATTAGAAATCAAGAGAATACAAATAGGGTTACAAAACTCATCAATAAACCCTAGAACAAAGCTCTCTAGATCTCTCATAAATCCTCCCACAATTGATGCACTATTCTCTCTCAAAAGCTGCTCCAAAACGTTATTGCTTAACCCTAATAATCAACATATTCCCATTTATATCAAACCCAAACAAAATGCAAACAAGAATCCTAACTCGATCAGCCTGAAAACACCCGTAAATCGACTTATGCACCCTGATAAGTCGACTTGACAGAGCCAAAAACGACAATTGCTGAACAGATTGTAAGTCGACTTATCGGTCCTGATAAGTCGACTTGACCGAGATGAAACTGGCAACTGGAGGGCAAAACGAAAGTCGACTCATGCACAGGCATAAGTTGACTTACCATAAGTCGACTTATGCCTGTGCATGAGTCGACTTATGACATAAAATCTAGTTTTCCTGCTTCCTTTCTTGAGTAGTTCTCCACAGAAGGTACTAAGTTGTTCGATAAATAAGGACATATTTTTAACAGGTTGAACTATTTTTTTAGTATTACAATTTGCACTGTTTAGAATAGATTATCACATCTGGAAGCAAATTGAAAGAGTTCAGAAAATATACTGTTATACCATAAAAATATTTTATATGCCACATCAGCATCAATGAACATGCACGCGATAAACACATGAATAGATGAGATTAACTAAATACTCTGTATAAGAGAGCTCAGGGAAAAGGCTTAATCCTAAAGACCAAGCTTCATTTGTTGCAAGGTATTTCCCTTTGACATAAAACTGTTAGCCGAGGAAAAACATTCCCATGCACACGTCTTACATCTATGCTCCCCCCTTAATTATTTTGGAAGTAAAGGATAGTGTTCCAAACATAAACCACCCTATTGCGATCAATTCAATGGTAGCATGTATTTATTGTTTGTTTCTGTCTTTGAAGAGTTACTAACTTACGCATCTAACGTATCGAAACCCCCAGTCCGGGGATCATTCTGGCGCCGTCTAACGAGTTCTTCAGTGTGCAGGTTACAGAGTAGGAAGACGATTTTGACCATTAGTAAATTTATTAGAGACTCAGTATATCTTATTTATTCCCCTTAATTGGAAGAGTAATTTGTGAAAAATTTACTGTATAGCAACATATACAATGAAAAAATAATTGTTCGACGAACAAAAATATTCACTATGTAACTTTTTAAATTCACAGATACAGCTATATTTTGTTTTATAAGAAACAAATCAAATTATTAGACGAACTATAAAGAAATATACAAGTAATCTAGACATTTTACGATTTTGTGAGTGCAATAAGGAAAACGAGAATAGTGCAACATGAATTTATGGAGTGACAAACGCATTCCTGTCAACATTTCCTAAAGTCAAATTAAATCAGAACTTTCATTTATGTTCCAACTGATTCTAGGAGTAAGATTTATTGACATTTATAGCTTTTACTGCGAGCCATAGTATCATTAAAGACATTGAAAATTTTAATACAAGAATTCCTCTCTCATTAACGCGGCTTATAGTTTCCAAAAAAATAATGTTAGAGGCACACCACCCACCATAACCCCAACCACACTCCCCCCTCTTATTGCTACAGTAAACCGGGCCTCACATGAGATTATAAAAAATTTAAAATCCCATGTGGGGCCCGATTTACTGTAGCAATGAGAGGGGAGAGTATGGTTGGAGTTGTAGTGTGTGGTTTGCCCCTAACACCACTCTTTCTAAAATTTCAAAAAACATCCGAAAACAAATTATGCGGACCCATCCAGAGATTTTTATCATCACGAAGGGCAATTTACAGAAGCACCCCCTACCACACCGCTTAGGAAATGAAGGGCATCTCGTCATTTTATCTACCCGCGAAAAGCCACGACCGCCGGAGCATCGAGGCGTAGGCCTCGGCCCCACAATGTCACGTGACAGAAGTCCACGTCAGACGACACAGTCCCCTCTCTTCCATTTCCAACACCTCTGATCCAGTCTAGGTTTAACAAACAACAAACGCCGAAAAATCTGAAAATTATCGCACAACGAACACGTGGCTACACTCGAGCGGCCTTTTACGGTACCTCATGTTCGTGACAAATAGCAGTCCGGTTTCTATTTCAGCTATTGATGAACAGAGCAGCAGAGTGGTGTAACGCCGCTTTCTTTTTGCGTGCAATCATCACGACGAAATACCAATTATACCACTGCACTTCGTAGTCTATATCAGGAGCACTCACCGCTCCCCATCTTAGCGGTGTCTCTCTGCTGCTAGTTTCTACGGCCCGACGTTGAGACAGTAGCCCGTCATCTTGCCGCTCTCGGGTTTCTGGACCCGTACCGGAAACCCAACAAGCGCGTACCTGGTAACAGACAGTTTTCAAGTCGTTCCGGGTTCGGGTATGAAGAGTATCGGGCCCCAATAGTTGTTACCAATACGTATTTACTAGGCAACGCTTGGAATAAGCCCGTTCGGCTTATTGAGCCCCAGGTTTGGATTTTTCCCTCTTTGTTTGTCTATACATGGCTATCGTTCAAAGTTTCGAGTTCTCAAAGAAATGTAACCTTTGGGTTTTGGATTTTGTCTGTTTAGGTGGTTGATGTGTTTGATCAAGATCTGTTAGTGAGACGCGGGGCGTTGCGGCAGAGTGTGGGTTCGGCCCAGTTTTTTCCTTATCGGGTTAACGGGTCGGGTCCAAGTTGTGCGGGTACCGGTGTGTTTTTGCCGCGGGTGAGCAACAATGAACTCAGAAGGAAACCTGGTAAGTGGTAACCACGCATTATTTATTATGTTCGGGTTTGGGCAATATAAGGAAAATTTTAATGTTTTATGTCAATGCAACTGTAAATAATCTCATGTATGTATTTCAGGTTATTTGGATATTAGTCCCTCAAATCTTCACTAACTCCATGTTAGTCCCTCGAATCTATGAAATAGCTCGTTAGTCTTTAAAATTCTAGTGTTACTGCAAGTTGGTCTCTCAAATGAACAAAATACTCTCAGCTAATGTTTTTTTAAGGATCGTTCGCAATTTGGCGCTCAAGTTTATATCTTTTTGAACTTTGGATACCCCATAGTATTCTTAACACTTGGATGCTCAAAGTTTACTCCTTTTTCAACATTGATAACCTCTTTTTTTAATTACTCTTTTGATACCCCAGAGCTTACATATTTTTTCAGGTACTAAAGTTATCAAATTAAAATTTACGTTTTTTTTTTAACTTTGATACCTGAAAGTTTGGAGTATCGAAGTAAAAGTAGTATAAACTTCATCCTAACGAAATTGTTAGGAAAAAAACTTTTAAGGTATTAAAGCTAAAAAATGTGTAAAAATTAGGATATTGAAATGTCAAAAAACTTTTAAGGTATTAAATCATAGAGGTGTAAGTAAGCTTTTGAGTATAAAAATGTTAAATAACCCTTTTCTTAAGAACATGGGTTCTCTTTTACACCGTCAAGAGTATAAAAATGTTTAATAACCCTTTTCTTAAGAATATGGGTTCTAAGAGAGAAATCATAACTAAGCAGCATTTTAGTGATTAAGGGACTAAATTGCAAGATTTCTTAGGATTCCAAAGGCAGTGAGCAATTATTGAGATTTGAGGGACTCGTAGGTAATTGAAGATTCGAGGGACTAATATCTAATTAACCCATATTTTCTTCAAATATTAAGAGAGGCCTAATTTCAATAATCCTATTTTATTTTAATGTTCTGTATAGCAAAGATGACCCTTGTTGAGGAGCAGCAGAAGCAACCAGTGAGCAGCAAGATGACAGCTAAAAAGCAACAAACGCAACTAATGAAGCCATTAATTCAAGTCCAACCCCCAACGGAGCTTGCTCTTCCACAAGAATGGACCTACTAAATTCTTCGCCATCTATACGTCTAGAATAATAAATAGAGGTAGGGTTGCATTTTAAATAGAGAAAATTTAAGCGGCAGTCCAAGGAAGAAGAAGAAGATAACACCAACATGGGGGCAAAAGAAGCGACCAGAGGAGTTTCCTTCTTGTCTTTTTGTTATCCAGTTCCTTCTCCGTGTCTTGTCCTGAACTGATCTTGTCTTACCTTACCTTACTTTGGGGCTACGCTTTGTGGGACTTGCTGTGTACTGATAAATTGATATAAATTGAATAAATGAAAGGGCTTTTCTTTGAAATGCTTATCAATTGGGTTTTGCCTTTTTGCCTTTCTTGTTGAGCGCACTGCTTTTGCTTCTGCTCTCCCTATTGTATGTGTTTGGGAGCTCGCTGGGAAAGGAAAGGAAGGGAAGTGAAATTGTCAAATTTTCTTTTCCCTTGTTTACCTTCTAATTTGGGGTGTAAAATTTTAGTGTAAAAATTTCCCTCATTTTTCTGTTCTACCATCCTGATAAAACTTGTAAACAAAGATAAAATTTAAATTTCTCTTTTCTTCTTTTCGTCCATCCAAACACGGCAAACACATCACAAGGCATGGGTCGGTAGGATGATGTGAGGTAAAGTTTAATGTGGGAAAATGATAGGGGTACACCCTCAACCACAACTCTAACCACACACCCTCTCTCATTTGTTATAGTGCATCGGGTCCCATATGGGATTTTAAAATTTAAAATTCTATGTGGAATCCGATGCACTGTAGCAAATGAGAGAGAGGGTGTGGTTGGGGGTGTGCCTCTAGTGCCACCATTTAATGTGGACTTAGAAAGAAGGGATACAATATATTTTTATGGTTTTATTTTAGTTGGAGAGGAAGAAAGAAGGGATATGATATAATTTTATGAATATATTTTTATGGTTATAATGTACGTGGTTAAATATCATAATTAAATATTTTTAATTTATTTTCTTACTAAAATTTATTTCTTAATTCTACTTTAATTGTTTTTGCTCACTTATATCTTTAAACTTTATCACTGTAATTATTTATTTTCTTTGATGTTTGTTGAATGAGATTACACTAAATTTAAATTTTCATAATGGTAATTGAATTGCTAGGAAATCAATGTAATCTAAAACTAATTTGAATTTTTACGTTATTTGGACCGACATGAAACAAAGCTTGATTTGAGAAAGTATAATGTTGTAAAACTAAAATATACTTAAAAATAGTGTTATAAAAGAAAGATGAATAATTAAAACTAATAACCCAAGATAATTAATTAACGTGGGCTAGCTAAAGCGAAACTAAAGAGAATATGAAGTTAATTTGTTGCTAATCATTCATAAACTTCAGAATAAATTATAAACTAATGATTAATGATAACTCTAGTACACTTTTATATGAGAAAATCATCCACGTAACCATATAAAAATACTTAAAAGAGTTGATGAGTATTCCTTCTAAATATTCTTGGTTTTATTCAAAAGATTAAGTTATTCTATAAAATTTAAAAAATAATCTTTTATTCTTTCTGTTTTATTTTTTTATTAAGTTAAGATCAATCCTTCTTTACATTTATCTTCTTCCTAAGCAATTTTAGAGTTGTGTCTTCGTTGTCTACATTGATTGTAACATCAGGTTGGAGCTGGATTTCCTATGATGTTATTTTTTTTGGGAAAATTGTGTCCAGGCCCCAAAAGTGGGAACTTCATGTGACAAGCCCCCTCGTATTTTGGCCCATGTGTATTAGCCCCAAATACGCACAGTATTTGTTATGGGACCCCTAACTACTCTTTTTCAGAAATTCAGGAAAAACAAAGGCGAAAGTACGCTAATGCTATCTGATGGGCACAAACGGAACATCAGGTTAACGGCTCCATCCTTATAAAGTACTCTGATTCAATCTAATCCTCTTCACTCTCTCTCATCATCCTCTCAATCATTCTCATCTCTCTCTCTCTAATCCACACTACATCAGTTGTCTCAGAACTCAGAGAAATTGGACAATAATTCTCAACCGCCTTCAACAGTAATTTAGTTTCCCTAAGAATCATGACGTCCAGGGAAGGATACATTTAACCGATTTCGGAGGTCGAAACACCGACGACGGCCTCGAAAGCCAAAGAGTATCGTCTGGGCAATCCTCTCTCTTT